AGTAGTCAATAAATTTTAAAAATGAAAGTAGTCAATCGCAATACTAGAGTAGTCACTAGTCAGTAACTAAACAAAAGTAATAATCAGAGTTTTAAAAACAAATGTAGTCAATAGTTAAAAAAAGACAGTCAAAATATAAGAAAGAGTAGTCGTCGGCGTTAGAGCACCAGCGCCCAGAAGTGTTGAGATGACAGTATTTAAAAAAATAATAAAAGGAATTTGTGTAATTTTATAAGGTTTAAAAATTCTAAAATGGTACCTAAAATCTGAATTAAGATTTTGAAATTCACTTACTCTTATTTATCTTTTAATATTTTTAAAGGTATTTTAGTATCCTTTTCCCTTCTTTTTAATATTAAAAAAAAATTAAGACCTGGCTTTCCTCTTTTTCCTTGGCTGAGGGCGGTCCTTATACGAAAACTACACCGTTTTAAACTAAAATAGGCATGGAGCAACTTTTTTTTTCCTTTTTATCAAATATTATTTCAATAGTATTTAATGTCATAAAATAATTTTTAATGCACTTAGCATCAGAAAATATTTTTTTTTAATAGAACTGCTAAACTAGTTTTTTTGGGGGCAAATTTACTCTAAATATATTTTTTAATAGCAACAAATACCTTAAACTTAAGATATTAAATATTACTAAAAATATTTTAGATGTTAAATGAACTGAAGATTACTTCAGGATATTAAATGATGCTAAAAAACTTTCCTCCTTTTTCTTGCCCGTTGCCCATCCTCTACACCAAAGCCACAGAGTTTTGGGATAACAGGAGGATGATGAGCACTTTTTTCCTCCTAAAGAGTACCTAGGAGCTTAAAATATTTGTTTAGTAGCACCCCATATGTTAAAAATATCTTTTTAATACCACTTAGTGTCTAGCATCTCATGCCTAACAAATTGAGAAAATTTTTCAGTAGCACCTAATATTTAGCGGTTGGCACTTTAAAATATTTTTCATTTGCATTAAACAAATCTTTTTAACCGTACCCCTTATTTAAAACCCTTTGCATTTTCATGACGCAAATTTATCTTCTCCTTAATCACAAAATTAGATATTAATAATAGGGATATTTAAGTAAACAAGTAATCTCAGGTATGATTATGAAAATTAACTTTTCTAACAGGTGCTGTTTTAGGTTTTAACAAAATTTGCGCGCTCTCTTCATTTCGAGCACCGTTATTTTATGAACAATTAGATTTGTTTTTCTAATTTTACCCCTAACAAATAATTTATGCACAGTAAATTATCTGTTAAGGGTAAAAAAATTGATGCCCTAAGTTTGTTACATAAATTGAGGGAGAGAATATATAATAAAGTAAAATTGTACTAGCACTCAAATTATTTATTACCCTCTCCAGTAATTAACTGGGAGTTAAATTTGGTCATTATATGCAAGGTCTTAATTTATTCTATATTTTATATTTATTATTTTTTCTAAATTAATTTATATTATTTTTTTATCAGAATAATTTACGTTAATCTATAAATTGACATATAATCTAATATTATATAGAAATCTTTTAAGAAGATTATATCAAATTTGTTATAATTAACACATTTATTTATTTTAGTTTATTTAAATTAGTTAAATGGTTGTTATATTAAAATAGGAACCAAGGTTCATGAAGGTATCATTTCCGGTTTCAGCCCAAACGTGAGCAGACTATAAAGAGACCCATCCGTGCAGGCTCAGGCGAAAAACAAGGCACAAAAAATTAACAATACGAGGATCTCGATATCATCGAAGAAAGATCTCCGAATTTGATTTCATAGCCATTGCAGCAGAAACAACTTAACTATCGCCTTCTCATTCTACTTCTCAATCTGCCCCTGTCGCCTCAGGCTTCTGAGAAATGGTTACGTTGTCAAGCTCCGTGATGAACCCTCAATCTCAGCTGTTCTCAGGTTATTATACGTCTCGTCTACATTCTGCTTCATTGTATTCTCGATTAGTGTTTATAGCCATTGCTGAGACGGCACTATTTTTCCTCTGGTTATCACCTGGAAATTACTATTTCAGTATTTCTGTATCTAAAGGATTTTTCCTTAGTCGGACGTTGTTCGTCTGACCATATATGGATACGCCGATGCTTAATAATAAAATATGTAGTTCTAATGTGTCGGTGGGGCTCCAGAAGTTCTCTTACGCAAAGTGCTGTTAGGTGTTGTTTGATACATATCCAACTTATTTCAATTCAGTAAAATTTTCGAAGGCCATCGAAGATTAGTGGTAATTATGTGACCTAGGCAGCAGGCAATGGCAGGCTATGGACACAGACACTGCCATAAGCTTGATGGAAAGTATCCCAAGTATATTTTAAAATGTTGTTTCTGAATATCATGCATGCAGCTCCTATTTTGTTAGTCTGCTGCCGGATTTTACTCTAAATGAACGGCTAGCTAATGTCACTCGCTAGGTGCCATAAAAACACAGTGCCGGATGTATGTATTTCTTTTGGTTTCATGTTGAGTATTTGAGAATGTTGAAACACTGCTGAAACACATTTTACCATCGTTTGTCCTTTTCCCTCTTAGATTTTTGTGATAAGTTGAGATTGCCGATATGAATTGATGTTAGACACTCGTACTGATTAGTGACGTAGCTGGTGACAAGTTGATATATTTGATTGGTGGGTTTTAGTATCTTTGCTACTTCGCATGTGTATGATAACTTTAACGTTTTTAAATCTTTGAAAATTTCCCTTTACGACTTTATCCAGTTTCTGCGGCTTTCCAGGGAGCTTAATATTTGAACATTTTAATGTTAGGATCTGCATTGAAGCCAATGGATCAATGTACTCTGAAAAGCAACTGCATTAAAATCTCTCCAACTTTCTCGTCAAGGGGTAAAGCAAAGATGAAAACACGTTACATGCCACTCATAGTTCGTGCAGGGTACCGGTGAATTTTCTCTTTTATTTTACTGTTTCATTCAAGCCAAAAGAATGGGAAGTAGGCATTATCAACCTCCCTTAATAATTTGATTATTGACAATAGATATCAACTAACCTGATTATCCGCATTATAAATACCCTTGTACAAGCATATTGTTTTATCAGTTAGCGTTCTTATTATTTTTCTTTCTTTGTTTTTTTTTTTAAATGTCCGTGCATGCATGCTGATACAGTGGGGATGATGGAAGATCAAACAATGCGGGTATTTTTGTTGGAGGCTTTGTATTGGGAGGACTAATTGTGGGAGCATTAGGTTGTGTGTATGCTCCTCAGGTATGCCTGTAGCACTAATTCCTCCCTTTTGGCCGTTTCTTTTTTGGTCTGGACCAGAAAGGAGGAGGAAAGGGGGAATCTCTTGGCTGTTTAGTTTTATTTTTCTAGGGGATCTTCGTTACCACATTACCTATAATATTTGTCCTCAAATGATTTTTAAACATAACCAGTTTGTTGTTGCTCACCTTCGGCTTTAGGTATTAATGTCTGCACTTTCTTCAAAAAGAATTGTAGGATGATATTCCCTTGTCAATACCATGATTAGGACAGTTTTCACATTTTCTGCCATGAATTAGGGAACCAAACTTGGTTATAATTTTTTTCTGCATTAGTTTCTGGTTATTTGCTCCTTCTTTCTCTAAAGGTTTATGATTATAGATATTACTCTCAATAATTGTTCGGGTTTGGTTGGAGAAAACTTGTTTAGTAATATTGACGTAGTTGTATGGATTTTTGCTTAAAAAGAGAGATGCATGATGAATTTACTAGGGCAGTAACCCTTGAGGTTTGTGAACTGCAGCTTTTTGAAGGAACTTTTATCCATTGTTTCAATTTGAAAGCTTGCTTTTGATGACTTTAAGGAGAATATAGGGAATTTGAAAGCTTCTATGGTTTGAACTTACCAGATAAGCAAGGCCCTAGCTGGATCCAACAAAACTGATCTCATGAAGAAGCTTCCAAAATTTATGTATGATGAGGAGAAAGCTATGGAGGTAAGAAAATTTTGCAGTTATCTTTCTTTTGAAACCATTCTGATTGCCTGTCTATGAAAGGGGATATTATTTATTCACATTAGTATTTGTATAACTTATTGTACCCTATTCTCTATCCACGCTTTGTTCATTTCAATTTAATCTCATCACAGAATCCATAAAAAGTGGCCTTTGACACCCTTTGACATCTCTGACGTGATTGGGCTTGTTCTGTTTCAAAGTATGGAGACTAGTTCCATTATGTAATTAGTTTTTCAGGATATATATTTGAAATTAGGAATATTTATTTTTTGTTAATCTTGTGTATAAGCGGCATGGTATGCTAACTTTGCTTGGAAGTTTTTCTCCGAAGTCATATTTACTAATTAATTGAACTCTTTTTGTATTCTGCTGCTGTAACTTGCAGAAGACTCGCAAGGTACTAACTGAGAAGATAGCAAAGCTGAATTTGGCCATTGATGAGGTTTCTGGAAAACTGAAGGCAGATGAAGCTTTGAACTCGGAGGAAGTAGAAGCTTCCATGTAATACGTAAATCTTGGGACCCGACTATGCGATACTCGAAGCTTTCTTTTGGCACTCAGGAAGATAGTGTTAAGTGATCGGATTTTAAAATTTACCTGTGAAAGTTGTTTCCCAAAAACAAAACAACAAAAAACCTTCCTTTATCTTTTGGTCTTAATAATGGTGTTTTAAAGATGGCTTTCGTTTTCGTTGTTGAGAACTATGAAGCATTTGCTGACATTCTGTGAAACTGGCATGAATTCTAGTTTAACTGGGTAAATCCTCAAGTGATGATAATATGCAATATCCTGAACTACATCGTAACTCTTCATAATTATCTGGGATTTTCACAAAACAGTTATTATCCATTCCGAGTTTTGACTAAGCTATTCGCAGTTGTTTTTAACATAGGATGCATCCCCCCTTGGGGGAGAGGGACAGATTATCAAAAAAACAAAATCAGATGAGAATTAAGACTAATACTGCCAATCAATCGCAAAACCTGTAATTATAATTCCTTATTCGTAAAATATCAGCGTAGGGCCCAGTGTAAGCTTGACAGTGTTAAAATATGATCTATATTGGGTACAAGGTAATTGTATAACAAAAGCATAGGAGGTATCCCGTCCAATGCTGAGAATAATGCATAGGATAGAGTAAATCCCCTTCCCTCCAGTGACTGAGGAAAAATCTTGGAGCAAAAACGATGAGAAAAAAGATGCATGATTATTTACCCACACTGGAAAACAAGCCATACTCCTCTCTCACTCTACTTTCTCCCAGTTACTGCACAGCATCTGGATCAAATGATAATCTAGGGGAGCTCCATTTCACTAGGTCCCAGCATGCCTGTGCTGCTCTTGTAGTGACGTGGTTAGTGCTAAATATCAGTCACTAGAAGAAAATAACCATTACTTAGACCACTATATGAGAGTAAGCTGAAGTTTTGGCCGGTTAGGCTGTGGCTCCACAACCTCCATGTGAATTGCAACTGCCTGCAGAATGCTGTACGAAATGCTACCATCCATCTTTCTAATCTTCTGCTGTTGCTCGTCTACATACCATTCCCCACTCCCCTTTTCAGCTCTTGGCATCAGATGCACAGGCCCTTCAATGCCATATCTGCTCAGGCAGAAGGTATAAGCAATAATGACAAACTGATTAAGTATCGAGACGGACTATTGTTCTGCATTGTTAATTCACATGGGAGAATTGCTATAAAATCCCAACTAATGAACATAATTATCAAAAAGTCCTAATAATAATAGAACAGCCTGTAATGACAAGTCTTTTCATTTGTCACTGGGATTTTTTGGTAGTTATTTTCTTTTTTTGGGACCTCAGTAATTCTCCCACTTGATGACATTCCTGAAATTACTGGCAGTCAAATTAATTTAGATCTCCTGATATGTTTGTCTTCCATAAACTATCATTTGCTTTCCTCTGGGTGGTATAGCAAAGCAAATGGAAAACAAAAGAAACGAGGCAAGAGATTTTACTTGGGAACAAAAACAAAAAATCCGTTGGATCTTATTTTGACTATTCTAGCCTCCGTATCAGTTGGCCTGCACAGACAAATACAAGTTCCAAAATAAGCTGCAAATAAATAAAAAGCAGTGATGGGGCAAGAGCATGGGATGCCATGTACCTGTTTCGGAAATAAATGAGTGTGTGGAGCTCTACAGAGGCCCGGCCAGCCATTTGAGCATTCCTATGCCGATAATTTAGATCTAAGGGACACAGCCATGAAGATGAAATTAGGCCAACCTTCATTATTAAAAATATTTATCCACGAGAGCATTTTTATTGAGAAGATGAGAGAATTAAAGTGTAAGATGATCAAGTTCTAATAAGACCAAGAAAGAATTCAACTTTCGAGAATGCAAAAATAGTTGGCAAGCTTATATTGAACCGTGGGTTCAAACAAAAATGTTTTAAAATGCTGTAGATTCCATACTATCTGAAATACTAGTGAGCTGGAGCCTGTCTTGAAATATTGAAGGTAGCTTGGATATTCCTAAAGATGCAGCAAGTAGCCTGTGAACAACGACATCTGCAAGAAAAGGACGTTTCATCTCCTCCGGAAGCATTGCATAAAATGCATCAAGACACCACCAAATTACAGAAACTATAGCTTACCTGCATATCTTCTAATAGGTGAGGTGAAATGAGTATATAGAGGTGCTGCAAGCCCATAATGATGATATTCTGGAGGGCTTAGATCGCCGCTACAAAAATAAACCGCCTAAAAAGGAAAGGGGGTATTTTATTTCTACACTTGAAACATACTCCTTTGATCTTTAATATAAAACCTAATTAATTAATTTGAGTAGATTAAGGATGTTAGTTAAATTAGTTAATATGATATGGATTTTTTTGAAAACACCCTAAGCATCTTCCTTAATTCTCTCCCTTCTTCTCCTATTTGATTATTGTTGGAGGAATATCAATAGAGTTAATTTGGTAAAAAATTGATAAATAAAATACATCTTATATATATATATTAATTCCCTAATTAGCTTCTATATCAAGAACCAGAGGAGTACATCTGAATTCAGTTGTTCAGTGTTAGCAAACTACTTACCTGAGTCATGCATCTAGTTGCCAATATGCGGATTAATTTATTGAAATATGGATCATCACCCTGGATAAAGTATTTCCTATTAGTGGGAGAACAGATCGAAGATTGAAGTAATATGCCTTGACTTTTTTCCTCTACTGATGCAAGAACAAGATTTACCACAGCATGGTCAAGAGAATCAGCCAATGCTTTTGATGATGAGACATCCAAGTGGAGACCAACTGCAGCAGCAGTCCGCAGCAAAGGTTCAAGCATCTCTCTTGTTGGAGTCGGATGACGCCTACATAGGAACCAATAACAATGGGGTATTCATTGATCCCAGTCACAAAACTATCTTGCCGCATGTAGATTTTTTTTTGGCTGCTTCTAGCATGTATATTCAGTCAAGGCTTCTAGTCAACAATGTCAGAAACTTAGTAGAAATATTACTTCTCAACAACATAAATGTTCATGGTGAGCAATTTTTAAACACTGAGGAAGTACCGTTCACCAATTAATATGATCCCTTATGCCAGATGAAACTATCCTTTTCATGTTGACAAATATTCAATTCTTAATTTCAATAGAAAGTATTGGGTGAATAAGTGAACTTGAGAAGACTACATCCTCATCTTTAAGGGTGTGTTTGGTATGAGGGATTTGGAGGGGAGGGGAGCGGAGGGGAGAGGAGGGATTTTAATTATTTCTCCTTGTTTGGCAACACACAAATTTTAGGAGGGGAGGGAAAATTTTTTAAAATTTCCCCTCCCCTCCCCTCCCCTCCTCAACCTCCTCTCCAAAATTGGGAGGATTTGGAGGGAAAGGGCAATATTTTGTCATATTATAACCATTATGCCTATATTTTGTCATGTTGTGACCATTATGTCTATATTTTATCATGTTGTGACCATTATGCCCACACCTTAAATAAAATAAGAGCAAAATTATCCATATTAAAATATTTTTCCCTCCCCTCCCCTCTTTTTTTGTAAATCCAAACAAGATAATATTAAAATCCTTCCACTCCCCTCCCCTCCCCTTCCTTCCATTAAAATCCCTCCCCTCCCCTTCCTCTCATTGAGCCAAACATACCCTAAGGCTGTGCTTTGTCAGGGAAAGACAATCAGTTTCGATCAAAGAAAAGTCACAGATTGAACAAATTCTGTTAACTAAGACAATTAAAAAAAAAAAAAAAACTACATATTTTCTTTTCAATTTATAATAGTCAGTTCACCAACTAGATTCTTAATATGAAGAGAGAGAGAGAGAGAGAGAGGAGAGAAATATCTAGCAAAAATGGAAGCAAGTTATGTGCCATATGAACCAGTAGGCCCATTTGCAGAAGGAAGAAATGCAGCTTGTTCCCAAAAGAAAGCATCACATAAAGCAATGATGTCAAAGAGGTATTAGAAACCAACCTTAACAATGAGCACGAAGGAAAACTCTTAAGAATTTGTTCTGCAACAGAAACGTTAGCTGCAAGCATAAACTCCTCCACCATTTGGTTTGCTTCCCGAATTTGGTACATACCTGAAAATTAATTAAACAAACTGAATAGGATTCTTCCATTAAAAAAAAAAAAAAATAGAAAGCTTTTCCACCCTCTCTTTTCACAAGAGAAAAAAATCGGCCTCACTCTCACCCCACAAATAGCTAAAACATTTGGACCATAGCCACAAATATAGATACTCTGAAGAAAACAAGATTAACAAGTCAATATGGAGTGATGATCCCCCATATTTCATCCTTGCAACTTTCTCGTGAAGATTCAAAAGACAGATACACGTGTGAAGCCAACATTTTAAAAAGTAGCCTCTAACAGTCTAACGTTGGAGAGCGCTTCCAACATAAGCAGCTTTGTATCCATCTCTCTTCATCTTCACAAGAAAGTTCCAAGAAGGAAACTCAAGAGGATCATCATCAGTCAACATTTTGCAATTTCAGCAACTCATACTTACAAAGGACACACTAATTACAGAGACCAAACTTTCAAAGACAAGTATAGACAACCACAACTTTGAAGTGCAAAGTCTTTAACAAGTGACTATGAGGATAGATTCAACAGATTGTAGAGGAGTTCAAGGTTCAGCTTTAGCATCAGTCTGAGCTATGGAGTTCAGCGTTCATTTGATGACTCTAAAAACTAAAAATCACTGGTGCTAATCATATAACACAGCTTGCTAATAATATCTTTAATCCCCTAAATGTTATAAATAACACCCAGCTCAAGTCAGACTATTCAGCTTTTTTAATTTCTGTAATCCCAAAGTAGTAAAATAGTTGTAGATATCCAATACAACAGCAGTGTTCAGATGAGCAGGAAACTTGGCCAGCTGGCTTAGATTTCTCTTGTTCAGCTCTTGGGAACAATAAGGAACATAAAAATCCACTGCCGGTTCAGTGCAGTTTTAGCAGTTTTGAAGACTATGATCATATAATGGAGCAGAGAGGATTTAGCCATAAGCATTTTCCGTCTGATTTTTAGTAGGAATAAGTTTTTAAGCCCTTGCATCTCAATTTCAGCAAGTTTTTCCCTCCTCTTTTCCTCTAACTTTGTTTTGAAAGGGCGGTTCACTTGATTTTTTACCTCATTTTTTGGGACTGATAAGGGGTTCCATTTTGGAAAATACAAAAACCAAGTACTAATTCTGTTATTTCCATTTTATACTCAAATGCCCTTTTTCTGTTTGACAAGTCCTTGTGAAAGTTCTGTAAGATAGTTACAGGTTCCTATCACATATCTATCTGAAAACACAAATACAAACCCTGCACACCTTCAACTCCCCCAAAAAAGAAATAATAAGTTAAAGGGAAAGAAGATTTTACCAATATCAAGAGGGTCATGAGTCTCAGTATCAATTTGAAATTTCACTTCAGCAGAAGCAAGGGTTAGTGCTCCTCTCTCAATGCGCCGTAGCCTCATTTTCTTTTAGACCATACATCCATCCAAAATATTCATACAAATCCATAAAATTAACCCAAACTCATAATTATCATAAGATCTGAGCAGCACATAAGCATTTATAAGTCCATACCTTAGCTAAACCATTCATATTCCTCAAATCTGTAGTTAGTGGATCCACCAGTCGACTGTGGGAACAGAAAATCAAACGACTAAGTACTAAACAAATGCAGGAAATGCATGACAATCAAATTGTGCATAAAACAGTTTGAGTCTGTTAGCACCATAGAAAATGGAACATGCAAGTATTTGCAGCCAGTTCAACCTATACTCTTAACTTCTCTCTCCAAAGGTATGCTAATTTTTCTGTGATTAGCTCCAAACTGAAAACTCAGGCAAAGAGAAAATCACAATAAAAACATCGTTTCTTTTGTCAACAAGAAGTATTTAGTTCATTATCTTGGTTTAAGGCCAGATAAGAACCATTGTTGGGAACATGTATGAGTTCTGCAGATGCCCTTGCGTGGTTGCATACGCTCTGTTGGAGATTAAAAGGAATCCGGCCTGAAGCCCACCATT